TTGGGTCTGACTGGAGGTCTGGTTGTGGTGCTGGGAGTGAGAGCACAGCTGGGAACAGCCTCCGTTGTTGACTGAACATGGTGTCAACTCTGGAGACAAACAGTAAGGACAGAGGATGGATCAGTTCAGGGAGAATTAACAAATTTAAGGGTCATTACAACAGCTACGATATGAGAGATGAATTTGAGCATTTATGTGCTGACTCTCAGGGTTGGCAGAGGTAAATGACTGGAGAGGACTCAGTTTGAATCTATTACAGCAGCAGAGGCTGTAACTCACTCGTAGCGTTAAAACTGATCTTTGGCAGTATGAGTTATTTCAGGATGAGATGATCTGTGTAGCAGAAGAACTGATGTTATTATCTTTTAAACAGATAACTGACAGGATAAACCTATATGACTGAAACACAGACTGAATCTCCTCTTTTTTTTAAAGAATAAAGATAATACCTTATTTGTTTTTGTCATGTCCCCCTTGTTTCTATATATGTAATACTTTATTATCTTACATGATATTTCATGTTTATCATATACGATGTATCTTAAGCACATTGAGTTTACACTTACTCGATTCCAGCTTCTCAAATGTGAGGACTTTCTGTATAACAATATAAACGATAAACAACAAAACAATATCTTAATAAAGCACTTAGCACGCTCCCTTTTCATTAGCTATAAGCACATCTTTTCTTTTCCTTGTCAGCCATTTTCAAATAAATCAAAGAAAAATTGAAAAGCAGCAACAACACCTACCCAGACAAACAGGTGTGACTCCGCTCCAGGTGCCCCCCTGCTGACAGTAGCTGTGAATGTCTCCATGAGCCAGCGTGTAACCAGGGTAGCAGGCGTATTGTATGTAATGTCTGTACTCCCTGGGACCTGGGTTCTCTACATTACGAAAGTAGAAGGTCCCGTGAGCGGGCACAGGTGGGTACGTGCACATGGGTCTGAGTCTTGTAGCCAGCAGAGGTGGTTTGGAGGTGGTGTTCACTGTGAGGTTGTGGTATTTAGTTTGGTGAGATCTTGGCTCAGTGGTGGTGGAGGTGTTTGAAGGCACATTATTGGACCTGGTGGAGCTGGGACTTGAGGTAGTTGAGGTAGAGAGGGAGGGTGCAGAGGAAGCAGGTGATGAAGTAGAGGAGAGAGTGGTAGAAATCAAATAAACCAAAGTAGATAAAGTGTATTTTGACGTCTCGGTGGGCTCCTCTTTCTCTACGGACCCAGGCTGAGACAGTGGAGGATACTGGAGGACAGTTTCAGCCTGTTGGTCTTCATCTGCAGTTTGTGAGGAGCTGGTTACCACTTCAGATGGATTCACATCATCCCAGGATATGACAGGTTCTTCAAACTTTGGCACTTTTTCACTGCCAAGCACAGGGGAAGGAGATTTTGTGAGGTGGAGAGGTGAAGTCGGTGCAAACATCACATTTGTGACAGCAGTTGTATGGGCTGTTGAAAATGAAGGTGGTGAAGATGCTGATCTTTCTGTTCCTGACACTAATGATAGCGTAGATGAGGCGGTGGTTGATAGATGTGATTTAGAGGCAACTTCATCCAGCTTCTTTGCTTCCTCCTGTGAAGCTTTTGCCTCTGAGCCATGTCTTCCAGTTCCAGTTTCTGGTCGTTGAGCTTTATTTGCCTCCTGAAGTTGAGCCTCATGATGAGTTGTTTGGACTTCATCTTTGACTTTCAAATTAAGAAACTGAAAATCTTGCTGCAGGTGGACTTTGGGGTTAGTCACTTTAATCCTCTCCCTGTGGGACATTTGGGATTGCGTGTGAGACAACAAGCCGAATTTGAGGTTTGTTTCTTTGGAGGCAGTATTGGCGAGGATGTCGTAGTGGGATTGTTGCTGTGTCTTCAAAACTGCAGCAGCCTGGAAGTCTTGGTGTATGTTTGGCTTTTGAACTCTGACACCCAAGACTGAGCTCATCATGTCGGACTCTAACAAGGAGAGAAGAGTCTCATTTCAGTCACAGTGCTGTTTGGAATCAATGAAAATGGGAGAATTAACGCAATGTGATACAAAGACAGTACCAAGATCACATTTAAGGGAATAGTCAATAATTTTGGGAAATTCAGTTTAGTTTAGTTTGGTTTAGTTGACAGGGACCATGTAGAGAACAGGTTCTATACCAGAGTTAGCTGAATAGCTAATTTGCATCTGTGGTTATTCACTCTCTTGGCCGGAGTGAGATGAAAAGATCAATACTGCTCGTTATATTTTTACAGTAACATATGAGTGGTCTGCCCATTGTTCCAACGGACCAAATTACCGAAGCCCCATCTGCCTGAAAAATGTCCAGCTGGACCAATAATAAATTTCTGTGACAGCCCGTTATCCCAAAAACAAATGGCTATTGCTCTGAAGTCCTGTATCTCTGAAAATACACACTTAGGCAACCTAATGGCCAGAAAAAATTTTTTCTCGTTGTACGTTTCTGTAAAACCATGATTAAATGACACTTTTCAGCAACACTGTGGCAAATGTCTGATTAGGTTTAGGCATTGTTTATGGTCAGGAAAAGATCATGTTTTGGTTTAAAACACCTGAGTTTGGTGGCACAAAAGTTACTGGAAAAGGAGGGTGAAAAGCACCTGGGTTTGGTGGCTCAAATGAAGCTGTGAAATGCTGCAGAGGGTCAGTTAAAAACACCCATGACTGGTGGCTCAAACGCTTCTCGGAAACTGAAACCAATGCATGTTCCTTCAAACAGAGACAAACTATCCTTTTCCTCCTTTCCCAGTCTTTATGCTGAGCTAAATAGCTGCTAGCTCCATCTACAAGCTACCAACATCTACCAACAGATATGAGAGAGGTATAACTATTCTCATCTAACCCTCTGCAAGACAGCATATTTTCAAAAATGTCCAACTATTGCTTTAATAGCGGAGTATTTTTTAGGCTCACCTTTGCACACAGGCTTTGTACTATTCCAGGTGTGGCCCTTACAGTATAACATTGAGGGCCCATGTAGCCGAAAGCCGCTATTACAGCTGAACACTGCCCAGGAGCCATCCTCATTCATGCTGCTCGTCCCGTGGGTGAGCGGCCCTGGGTTGGAGCAGCCAGTACCTGACAGAGGGGAAAGGATATCATTGTTGTTGTCTCCTCTCAGCTCTCTACAAATTCTCTACTCTGCACTATAACAAAACCAAAAAAAAAGGAGAATACTACTTGAACAAAAGTTGAGACAAATGATTCAACATAATCCTCTAAATGCATCTACTTACAGAAACAGAATTCATGAATGAAGCGCCTCACCAACACATACTGGGGTGTCCCGGGACCAGTGTCCTGACACACAGCTGTTGGTTTTGTATCCATGGAGCTTGTAACCAGGACGACAGCGGAAGATCACTAGCAGTCCACCATACCGGAAAAACGTCTGCCCGTTCTCCAGGTGTCTTAAACCACTGCATCTTGCAGCTCCACACACTGTAGGACAGTTTCACAATGAATGCGTGCTGTTGTCTGGAAACACAGCACAAGTATGGAAGTTAAGTTGAAGAAATACCTGGAGCGTAGACGCAGAGCAGAGCAACCAGTGCTGCCAGGAGCTCCATCTGAACTCCCAGATGTGATGGGAGAATACAGAGAAATACTTGGACAGTGAAAGTGGGAAGGATATGAGAGGTTGAAGATTTAGGGGAGGGGAGATGTGTCCTGGGATTACTACAGGATGGGCAGATGGGAGGACGGAAGGGAGGAAGGAGGGGGAAGACAGTGCAAAACACTCTGACAGATGGATAAGGAGGAAACAGGGGAAACACTGTTTTTACCTGCTTTAGAGTAGTTTCACTCGTTTTAAGACATAAAGTGCTATCAACCACTTAGACATGAGCATCCTGTTTTAGTGCCAGGGTTCTTGTATGCTTTTCCGCCTTTTTGTCAGTCAGTTTAAAAATGATTAGTCCCCACACCTCCCTGTTTGTCTCCCACTCTTCACCTCTGAAGCCTCTCGCAACTGGAGAGCATGTGCACGTTTAGTGTGTGTGCTGCACAGTAAAATCTGAACCCATCATTTACTGACAGGATGCCTGGGCCTGTTAAACAGCTCTCACTGTATGGTAATTATAGTAGGCAGGATGCCAGAGTGAAGTAGTGTAGGAACACACACATACTAAAACACATTCCAGTACTCATACGACTATACTTTGTAGTGTGACAGAAAAATATTTAGTATGCCCCAGTGCACAGTATGTCAAATGCAGTTGGCCAAAAATACCAGCATGCTTTTAGAGGTGTTGTTATCTATAGATTATTATGCAATGGTTTTACTGGTCCAGCCCACCTGAGATCAAATTAGGCTGTTCGTGGCTAATGCACTAAGATGAGTTTGACATCTCTGATCTGAAAACAAACACAAAATACAAGTCATTGGTTTAAAAAAGACTTTATTCATTTTTGGTTAAGAGCTGAACACACACTAGCTGAAACTGTAACATTAGCGTCAGTGTGTTTCTGTTCTTTTCTACTGCTGAAGCCTTTGGGCATCGATACATGTAATACTACAGCACTGCCAGATAACAGTGCTGCATCACACAGGAGTCTGAGGAGACCTCTGTGCTTAATCAAACTGTACCTAAAATATGTAGTCCCAGAACCAGCTCCATACGTTTCCTAGCATTTATTTTGACTTGCTCGAGGTTTGTGTGGTGTCTTGGTGACTTTGCTGTGACCTCGGTGACCCAGTAGTCAGGTCAGCACCTTGCACAGAAGATAGGAGCCATCGGTGAGTGTGTGTGTGTGAGAACTGGTGAATAAGAGGCAAATTGTGAAGTGCTCTGGATAAGTGCTATATAAATGCAGCTATTCACCCCCAAATCCAAAATACATATTTTTCCTCTTACCTGCAGTGGCATTTTGTCAAGTTTTGGCAAGTTGTCTTGGTGTGAGGTGCTGAGTGTTGGAGGTCTTGGCTGTAAGGATGTGTGCCTTCTCTCAAAAATAATATAATTGGATGGCAGTCTGCGTGAGGTGCTCAAAGGGCCAAAAAAAAAAAAAAAACATTTGGAAAAAGTCAACAGCAACAACAGTCTCTTTCCAGAATTCATGACCTGTTTACTCAAGATAATCCACAGACAGTTATGGCCAAAAATATTTTTTGTGAGGTCACAGTGAACTTGAACTTTGACCGCCAAATTCTAATCAGTTCATTCTTGAGTCCAAGTGCACATTTATGCCAAAAATTTGAGGAAATTTCTTCAAGGAGTTCTTGAGCATTCATGAGAATGGGAGGGACAGACAGATGGAAAGACGACCGACCTCTGACCACGGCTGTTGACGGCACACAAGCATTAAAATATAAGGTTATTGTCCACTGGTGGTCCCCAGTGGCCTCCCTCTGTGCTGTGCCATACTGTGCCGCCGACACCGCCACCTTTTAGCCAGGCAACGGTGGCACAGAACTTAGGACAGCCTGGGATTACAGCAGGCAGGCAGGTGTCAGATAAGGGCAGAGCACTATTACAAAAACATCGACACATCAACGATAGTATGATGATAATGTCCAAAACACAAGTTTTGCTCTCAGTGGTGTCTGTGACATAAGAAATAAGTCACAGATGCCACTCCTTTGAGGATTGTTCACAATGTAGCATTATCTGGGAAAATAATCGGGTGCATTCCCTTTAACATAATCATTCTAGATAATACCAAATGTCACACCAATCCTTTTAAACTTTTATTGAGCCATTTCACACCAAAATGCTCAAAAATCTCAGCCTGCTGGTGGCACTGGAGGGAACGTCAGTCCCTGAAGTCATTAGGATCCATCATCTGGAGACCATAATATCTTAAAATGCATGCCTATCCACTTGATTGATGTGGAGAGGTTTCGCTGCACTGAGATCTCTGGCCTGCTGGTGGTGCTAGATGAAAAGTCAATGGATCACCAAAGTCTTACAAACTTATCCTCTGTGGACCATGAATGTCTGTATAAAGTTTCTGGTTAGCCATCCAATATTTGTGAAGAATATTTTCACTTTGAAACCAAAGGTGGTGGACTGAAGTAACCCAGAGACTGACATTACCGTCCCTAGAGCCACCCTGCTATAGCGTGGCTAAAATGCACAAATGACAAAATGCAACAATAATAACTTCTAGTTTTAATGTTCAAGTGTTAATAAATACTAAAATATTTTATCTTTTCCCTGCTGTCCTACTTTCTGTTCACTGTTAGTTTCTCTGCTGATCATACAGCACTTCGATACTGCAGTAGTCAGACTCTTATTCACAAACACTTTTCTCTATCCACCCTTCCATTAAGTTGGTGATCCTTGTTGTCCAGTTTGTGTACCACTCTGAAGGCCTCCAGGAACTCTGTGAAGTCTATACTGCCGTCTTTGTTGAAGTCGATACTTCGAGCTAGGTCATCGATGGCACTGTCGTCAATATCGACTCCCAGGTGGGCGCTGAAGAGCCGCCAGGTGTGACGAAACTCCTCGATGGAGATCAGACCTGTACACGACAACACACACAGAACTTAAAGGAATTCATTCTGGATGATTGACACATCAAAGAGATTCAGTATTTTTTTTACCTGAATGGTCTTTGTCTATAATGTTGAATATAATCTCAATGTCTGTCCTGTATCTGAACAGAGTTTCAGCCAAGTTTGGAGTCACCTAAAAGAAAAGGGGAAAATATAACAGCAGAATACTCAACAACCACTAGCCATGTTTAGTGGCAACAATGGTCGAATAAGTACTATAATCCTCAAAGCTCCAGTACCACTAGGGAAAAATACTCCTTTATAAGTAAAAGTACTCCTATTCCTGAATATAAAGAGGTGTAAACTGCAGCAAGGGATCCTATTGTTACTGTCAAGTAAAAAAGGTCAAGTCTCCTCTGTTGGAAATATTAAATTTGCATGAATGTGTAAATACTTTAGAAGATTATCCAGCTTCTTTTCAGCAAACTTTTTACCGGCAAAATACGAATGGTATGTCAAAAGTTTCTCAAAACAGCCCTTAAGGACACTATGTGAGTGAATGTACTTGGTTGCTTTCCACCTCAGATTAGGAGAGCCCTTCACCTCTCTGACCTGAGGCAGAGGAAGCCCTGGTTCCATGTCCTCAAAGCTGGACTGATACTCCACACTGCCATCTGGTGCCAGACGGGCTAAGTGTGGACGAAGTGTCCTCCAGGGCAGATCAAGTCTCAGTACAGACTCCAGCACCTGAGCCCATTCACAAACTGAAACAGTACCTGAAAGAAAGATATGCTTTCATATAACAACTATACATGTCGACCTGAGTAAATACATGTTTATAAGTGAGGTAAACGGAGTGAGAAAAGCACACCTGTGTTATTCTGGTCGTACTGCTGGAGGCCCAACAGCAGCTCAGAGCGATGGGAGAACAGCTTCTCCTTCAGGGCCTTGAGGGCAGAGCCTTCAGCAACTCGTACTCTACAGACACACATGGAAACACACATCATTAACTAAGACTGAGCTTTCATACAGAAGTCTATTTTCATTGTTGACTGATGTGTCAATGATTTATACTTTGAAACGTTAAAATATATAAGTTAAAATAGTGAAAATGCCCATGGTTGATTCTTCAAATTTCTTGTTTTGACAAAATCTGAATGAACTAATCCAGTACTGCCACATCCAGCTGTGGTTAATCTGCCTCACTTTAAAGTAATTATCTTGAAAATTTTCATTAAAATAAAAGTCCATTAAGTCATTAAGCCTATGGCCTACTGATGAACTTTCTGCAATTTATATATAGTACATTCCCATTATTATGAAGTGGGTGACGAGGTTGACATTCGCAAAAAAAATGCTGTATTAAGTTAATGTAAAATGAACATTTCCTACTGTTGTAGCCTTACACTGAAAGCACTTAACTGGCGAAACACAAGTTGACATTTATTATGAAAGGGTCAAAGGAAATGCAATGCATTTTTTTCAGTTTAGCATTCAGCGTAGCAAAACAAAAAAAAGAAGGTGATTTTCGTCTTGATTTTGTGGATCAATTTGAAATATTGCAGAAAGTAATGGACACGGGGTCCTGCAGTCGACACACCTCCAACTTATACTGGCCTTACACCAAATGACTTTTCAAGCAATTTCACTATCAGAGAATAATTTCAAGAGTCCAGTTTTTATGTGTCTTTACTTCTAGTATCTTTAAAGTTATTTATTTTAGTGAGAAATCTCTATTTTTGAAATGGTTAAGGTGACAAAATCCAAAATGTAAACTCAAACACAGTTTCTTCATGGATTACATTGATGCCAAAATTGACAAGACTACTATAGACATATGACACCTTTTAGCTTGTGTTTCTTGAGTTATGTATTTTTGCAGACACATAAGAAATTGTTAACATGTCATATTTCTTGAAGGGAGTTTTTCACCAGGAGCAGGATGGGGAATAATCTCAGAAGCAATCTAGTTGTAGTCTTGCAAATAGTGACCCTGCAAGTTCCCAGTCATCGCAAAATATTATAGTGTGTGACTTGAAACTCACATTGTGTTTAGATATGAGAGTGTGTCAGGCCAAGTCTTTTTTAAAGTATTCTTAATATATTTTCAAAGTCTTCTAGTGTATTGTAGGCATTAGTGGGGTAACAAAACCCTATGTGCAGCATGATATCACATCACTATTGCTCACAGAATGATGGAAAAAGGCTATTGCCTGACTTCTTTATTAAATCAGCAATAGTTTGTTTCGCTGCCCCAAGACTCTGTGACCTGTCGTAATAAACTGCATTGATTAGCGAGTCAATCAGGACTGTAATCTTCAAGAGCCGCTTCAAACAAACATAAGCACACCAGGCGGCTGTTGTACCTCTGTGTCAGGGTGAGTTTGCGTGTTGTGCGGCTGACTTGATACTGGTAGAAGCGGGGAACCAGCTCTCGGCCTACTTTGATGTAGGCACCACGGTTACTTCCCTCCTCATAATAGTTTGATGCTGAGAAAATGGTGATCACCTGTAGAACAAACAAGCACAATTTATGTCTCCTGATTCAATCATTTTAAGCATTTGGACAATCTGTATGGATTTGTTGCATCCCATCTACCTGTCCATCATGACAGAGCTCATATCCCTCCTGTTTGCACTCATGGGATCTGATGAGCAGTTGGAGTCCGTGTTGGAGCAGCAGTCTCTGTGTGACGTCAGGGCCGAAGTAGCAGCCTCCTCCTCTGAATGTGTTGGGACTGCAGCCTTCTTGGGTTTTAGGGTCACTCCACAATATATCCACTATCTGCAACAGAGAGGAAATCAGAAAAAATAAGACACTATACAGCGGAATTGAGCAATATTATTTTCTGCTCCACTGAATCCACTCCTCTGACCTGTTTCCAATCCTGATCCTGTTGTGGAGGTGAAGGAGGGGGGACAGAGGACAGAGAGTCCAGGAAAGGCACTTGGAGGACATTGATATTGTAAGGCGTGCAGGGAGAAGACGGGCACGGACGAGGAGAGAGGCACGATGGAGTTCGAGGAGAGCAGAGCGAAGAGGACGAGGATGATGAGGAGGAGGAGGAAGAAGTGGAGGCGGCGCTGTCTTGTCGGCTGTGTCCACATCGCATCTTTCTACAGAAGGAGTAGAAGAGAGGGTCGCTTTAGACGAGAACTCTAACAGTACACTGACCTTAATAAAACCCCTACAACATCTGTGAGCGTCTGTGGGCTACAGTGCTGTCACACACTTGTGGTTCGGGGTTCTTTGGTTCTTGTTGTAGCTGCGACTGCTGCTGGGACGAGAGCTGGCTGTGGATTTCATTCTTTTCATCTGTCTGCAGGACTGACTGATGTCCAGCTGCTCCAAACTACACCTGGGAAACCTCAGGGCAGATTTCACCTACAGGAGCAGAGAAGGGAAGACAGAAATAAAATAAGGACAAAGTTATTTGCTTTCTAAACTGAAGTTCAAACTGATGTATGTTGAGTGTCTGAGGTCAGAGGGTAACCTAGAGTATGTTGTACACACTGTAAAGCGCCATATGCTCCTCTTCTTCAAGCAGTGATTTGCACAGAATTGCTTTTATGGACTTAATGAGAACTCAATGAATTTTAATTTCAATTTTTAGACGGCTGTTCATGAAGAAATCCATCATTACTTTTCATTTATCTGATTGATGAATGATCATTTTCTGTATCTTTGGCCAGTCATTTAAAAGAATAAAAAAACACAAGCAATAAAAAGGTACCTATGTGATGTGCAGCACTGAAAGTTGTTTAAAAACACTTTAGCATTCAGCATGGACCTTGTCTGCTGGATCTGACTTTAGACAGCTGTTTGGTATCATGTTACCAGTCTACATTGTTCAGTGTTGGCTGTGAATTTGTCAGCATTTTTAAAAATACTTTTCTGACCTCTTGTGGCCAAAATCCATTACTGCAGCTAAAACAACACAGCTGGAGGCATTAGTTTCCACTGACCTTGTGCCTCTCTATGGAGCTGAGGAAGTCCAGGTCAGTCTGGTCTGATATCCCTCCATGAACAATTAGGATCTTTCCATCAATGACGGTTGCGACAGGCAAAAGGCTGAAAACATCCTGAAACAGCTGGAGGATCTCTCGTCCATGAGTCTGCATGCAGCAGGAAAGGAATTATTTTCACAGCTGAGTTCTGGACATAATAAAAGCAGAATAAGGACATGTGTGTGGACATCACGGTACCTTGTATTTCTGCATGACTTCTTTTGTGAACCCATACCTAAAACAACAACATAAAAATTAATTTTAGTACCCTTGTGTTTGTGGTAAACCTAGATGGACACATGTTTTCTTTCATTTCACTTCTTCACCCGACCCACCGGAGGTTCATGATGTGGTCTTCATGGTTGCCTCGGTTCAGGTGCATGTAATCGGGGTAAAGCAGCTGGTAGGCGAACAGGAGGACGACTACTTCTACGGACTTTTTCCCACGGTCCACAAAGTCCCCATTGAACACATAAGGCGTCTCCGCAGAGGGAAGGCCATTCTGAACAACAGTGAAATCAACAAACTTAAAATCAGATCTTAGATGTATTGAGTGCACACTTCAGCGATGTTTGAACAATGCTAAAAATTTAGCTTTACCTTATAAAATATAAGAAGTAAGTCATCAAGCCGCCCGTGCAGATCACCTGTGCCAAAACGAAAATCACAGCAGTTAAGAACTTTAAATCCTATTTCTGGTTTAATTAATCCCTGATTTACAGAGGAGGTGTAAAATTCCCCGACGGTATGAAAACAACCACCAAACATTGTGTCTTCTGTTTTAGTCGTAACAAGTATTCTTGGCTTTAATAAGATGCGTATCTGCAGGAGGAGGCAGCAGTGAAAAAGGAGTCAAGTGCCTGATCAGTGTGCAAATAAACACGACCTCCATTCTTGGAACGCTGCCATTAAGATACAGTTAGCTGTATTTAAAACACATTTAAAGACATCAGTGATTATTTAACCAGTAAGCAGGTCATTTATTTATTCAGCTGCCCACTGTACTGTGTGATGTAGCAGGTGCACAAGCAGCAGCTCATCACAGCAGCAAATGGCAACGATGAGACTGAAATGACTGTTGTGTACTTAAGGAATACTTATAAATATACAAAGTTTTCTTTTAAAAATGACAACTATGAATCTTGAATTTGCAAGTGAAACAGAGGCGCTGGTCACCCACCACATATAGTGATCTCTTTGGTGTAGGATGTAGACAGGTGGATGATGTTGGGCATCTGTTTGAGGAGCTTCTTGGTCTCGTACAGCAGCTGCAGAACATATCTGGCATGTAGAGTCTGTGAAAAGTAATGGAGTCAGTAAAAACACTCAAAATATTATGTGAGGCAATGAAACTAACAGAGAGAGAAAGACCCTTATTACAGTACCTGCTGCTCCTTAAATGCACTGAGGAGAGCATTCGTATCAGAGACAGAGAGGGGGAATGACAGTCGGGGCCCGGTGTACGACTCTGCAACAGGGATCAAGTTGTAGCAGGTCTCTCTGTCTAACCAGGGGTCCACCACCGGGTCCAGCAGCTGGGAGATCAAGTCTGGAGGACAGTGTAAGCGGCTGTGACCATACTGTCATTGCCATGAAGCAGTACTGCTCATTGGTCTGTAACATTACCCACAGTGGCCTAAAACCAGAGATATTAGATCCCTTGGAGTAACAGATATTATAGTACGACAAAATCTCAGATGGCAGACTTATTTACATACTAATAGTAGCCCTGAGGTATTACGACCATTATAAGCAAAAAGTGGAATCCTCACACTGTTTTATACTCCCATAATAACCTACATTACAGAGTTTTATTTAGGCTTCTCCACTAATTTTATACATACTGCACATTTGGGAAAAGTTGTATAAAGCCTTTTATGGCTCCTGCTGCACAAAATCTGATAAATGGACTCAAGTGTTGTCACTTGAGTCAAAATGAGTTGAAACTAAAGACATAGGAGAGCACAGACTGTATAGTAAAGACAGACGGCATGACCGCTCCCCAAAAGTGAAGCCATGACATCTCAATTGCCCTCTGATGGCTGGCTGCTTAGGTCATAAAAGCTGACCTTATATCCTCCTGAGACCCTGTGTGCTCATATGTGGACATCACATTTAAGGTTAACTTCACCTTATACTTCACTCCTCTTAACTTAGGCCTATTGTCCTCGTTCGTAGACACTTTTTTGTGCCATCTAGTGGTAGTAAGAGCACAATACACTAATCCATGTAAAAACAAGATCAAGGTCAGTCTGCAGCCAATCCCGACACAAAAGTGGACATGGTCCAAAACCTGATCACATTTTATGGTTGAATCTATCAATCAACAAATTTGACCAATTTTAGCAACAGTAACAAGCTAAGATGCTGTTAATTTGGTAGTACTCATTAGAAGACATTGGGACTTGTTTGAGGACATTGGAACATAATTATCATTGACAATGTTTAGTTTTTTATACTTATTTGGTCCTACTTATCCCAAACAGCTAGGATAAATTAAAAAGGATAAAGTCCCAGGAGGATATTACATTATTTCAACCACTTTTAACTGTTTATAAACCTTGTTGGAACTTGTCATTCATGACTGTAAACATTAATTCAGAGTTTTATAAAGGCTTATCTATGCATTATAATGTCTTACAAATGTGCGTATAATGCATTATGGGCATGGCCTTAATAGAAAGTGTCACCTTAAAATCGTGCTTGGATTAAAAAATAAAAAACAATAAAAGGAGGGTTTGCCCACTGAACTACAATCCTATATATATACAGGTTTTAATTTGTAGTTCCCTGTGATAAACAGCTCGACACAGCAGCACATCCAGCTCTGTGTGACCTCACCGTTGTATTAAAAGACCACTCCAATATGCTAATGAAACCCTCTAATTTATGCAAACAAACAAGCCACGAACAGACATCTACCTCCAGGCCTATTTCTCTTTTGTACGTCTTTTGTCTATTTTCCCTTTTGTGTCGATTAAATGTCCTCTATTCTGTCTCACACTCTCACACACACACACACACACACACATACACAGATGCTGTATATAATAAACACAGACAACAGAGTCTGGCCTCTTTGCATCACTTATGTTGACTCAGTGTAAAACCCACGTAGAGGATGTACAGCACATGTTAAGCAATACGGGCTGACCTGAGGACGAGCTTGTCAATGGAGCATTATGCTTTTTAGTGCAATGAGAGGGTCAATACATACTTAAGCCACAGCTGTGTCAGTGCAACACACCAACACGTTGGCCTCCACATTCACAGTAGTTGCTAAGCAACGGGGTATACGCAATGGGTTTTCTAGTGTAGACCAAAATACAGTGGCATGACTAACAAAACTGGTGTTAACTGATGGAGGTTAAGAAAAACAAACATCTATATATAACCTTCCAACAACCATTAAACACCAACTGCACCACCTACTGTAATGTTAATATTCCATCTCTCACTATTTAGATTAAAGTAGATATTTAGTTGAAAACATCTTTCTTCAATCATACACCACACCAAAATAAAAATGAATAAAAAAACAATAATTCAAAGCTAAAAAAGGACATGAATAAAAGGTTAAATGACTCGAAATCACCTCAGATATTTAAGCTTCAGTACGTCAGAAAAACACAAGCAGCCCTGAAGCTGCTGTTATGAGTGAATGCTTTACATGCACAATGCAAAAATAATTAAGTAGAATATATTTTTGTTCCTGCATTTGTATCCGCATGTGCACTCAGTGTTGGGGTGTAGTGAACTAAATGTAGTTCAAATACTAGTTTAACTACAGTTTCAGATTCAGTAGTACTACTTTGGGTCGTATAGTTTGTGTAGTTCATTAAAAACTGCACAGTCATGATTGATGGTGCTTTTTTGCCATATGATACAGCACAATGCCACCGCTTATAAGCCATGGTTGTCATTTAACCCTTTAAAACTGGAGCAACATCACTTTTTTATGCTGCTTTCAGATGTTTTTAAACCTTAGGACCTTCGGCAAATTGGTGCAATTTCTTTCATGGGAACCATGGGAAAAAGGCGATGAGTAACTTGGTAAGAAATGTCTTGTTATAATGAAATTGCAATAAGTAAATCGTTTTTTTAAATTATTTAAAATAATAGGGAATAAAGAAAAAACTAGGGAAAAAAAATGTACAATTATAATTATTACATATTTAAAATCATGGTAGAGAATTATTATAATATTTAAATTTCCAGGTCATTTACTTGTTTGTTTTACAGTATTTTATTTTATTTATTTATTTATTTATTTTCTTGTCATTAATTTTCTCTTTTTTTCTAATTTCTTGCAAATTTTTGGGGTTGTTTCTTGTTTCATTGCTCATTGCCTTCTTAACAATTTGTCAATTTGCTCTGGTCAAAGGGTCAAAGACTTAACCTGCTCTTTGACTAGAATCACATCTTATTTGCATCCAAAATATCTACAATCAAATATTGTAAATTTCCCTACAAGTTAAGCGTTTTCCTAATTCCACCCCAACGACTGCTCCCTCTCGTCTCCTTAAAATTCATCCTTGGGCTGCCTGGGTGAGGACTGGCCCGCCTCACTCCCTAAATCAAACACACCTACACTTAATTCAGGAGTTGTACCTTCATGTAAAAGCATGGAGGTCCAGACTCAGGCGTGATCATAGTGATCATTTCCCATAATGTAGTTTGGGTGTAGTTGAACTACTTTTTGAGAGCAGTTTTATTTTGACAAGAAAACTTTCTTGAGAATACCGGTAGTTAAGATGTAGTTTAACTACTTATTATTGTGAAGTAGCTGGTAAACTATAGTTTTAGGTGGTTTCTCCAACACTGTGAGCACTGTTAGAAAATGATGTTTCCTTAAAATCAGCTTTATCACCAACATTTCCAAATAACAACAATGAATTTCAAGTTTTCAGTACACAATACGATCCACTACTCTGCGGATAGAAGAGCATTTTGGCTCCTTACCTGGTCCATTTCCATTCAGCTGTGTGAAGTTGTCGAGCATGAAGCTGAAGAAACTGGAGAGCTGAGGAAAGAAAAACAAAGCAGAAAGATGTTCAAGCTTTATTATGATGCTTCTGAAAATTAGCGTGCATGTGGACTTGAGTTTTTAAGCAGAGTCACCTGTAGCTGGTCCTGTTCCCCGGCATATTCAATGGACTGAAAGATGTTCCAGGTGTACCTGCGCCTCATCTCCAGACGGGCCATGTAGCGCCGGTACCATCGCTGGATCAGAACAGCTGCCTTCATAGCTGCGACAAAAACAAGAGCTCTTACATTTTTTTTAAAAATGGGAGACATGTTTAAATATCTGGAGTCACATACAAACAGTGCATGAATATGACATGTGAGCTCTAATTCAGTGTTCCAGCACAGCATGGTGCTTCTCAGTTCCAGCGCAAAGTGACAGGAATATTACATTTTACGTCTGTGTCACTAACTCAGGAACTGATTCTGATGTTTATTTTACAAAAGATGCATTCAAATTCAGAATCAGTTCTGCATTCTAATTCAGAACTGATTCTGAATTTGAATGCATCTTTTGTAAAATAAACATCACCGTGTAAATATGTAAAATGTAAAAATGGACACACACACACACACACACACACACATATACATGGATGTATGCACACATCACATATGTCACAGACTGATAGATGAGCAGGGTCTTACTCAGAGCTGGGCTGGGAGACTTCACTGTGTCATCTGTGGGGAGAAAAAAAACTACAATTTAGTGTAGAAAAAAAGGTAATTGAATGAAATCATGTGCAAGGCAACACACACACACACACACACACACACACACAGATAACAAGACACAGGGGAGGCCATGAGCAACAGTGGGACTGGAAAAACTAAGTAAATTAAAAAAGCTTTCAGGAGAAACAGCGCTCATTAAAGAGAGAAGACAGACTGTGTAGAAAGAAAACCACCATCTGTCAAACATCTGGTGTGTGCGTGTGTGTGTGTGTGTGTGCACCTGTGTGTGTAATAACTCAGAGGAAAATGTACTACTGCAAAAATTATCATCAGATTTATACAACAAAATGTGACAGTGAGATGCGTCAAATACTAAACCATAACACTTCTGCTAATAATACACTATTTATGGAACAGTTTCCAGGTAATGAGCCTCATGCAAGACACGATATACGAACAAATTTTCACTTATGTTTGCTCATATCTGCGATTTGTTCTTATTTTGTCAATACCCATTGATTTCTGGGATTCACAAATGTTTTCTTATTTTTGCTCTCCTTTAAAGTGGTCAAAGGCAAAGTCAGAGGTAAAAAATCTTGTGTTCACAGTCCACAAACTGTTTGTTCAACGCAAGGAAACACAAGTTTTAAGTTTGAGAAATATTTAAATATATTCATTTATTATATTCAATATACTGCAATAGTGTAAGCAAGGCAATATATCTCAATTTATATTTTAATCCAATTTTGTAAAACCATGTTAGTATAAAGAACACACAACAAAAAAAAGACTACTTTTTAAAGATTGTTTTTTTGGGGGCTTTTTGCCTTCAATGAACAGGACAGATTGGAATGGGGTGAGAGAGAGAGAGAGAGAGAGAGAGAGAGAGAGAGAGAGAGAGAGAGAGTGCGGGTTGACATGCAGCAAAGGTTTGCAAGCCGGAGTCGAACCTGCAACCGCTGCAGCAAGGCATTGCCTCTGTACATGGGGCGCCGGCACTATTCACTACGCTACCGACGCCCCAAAAAAGACTACTTTTTTATGCAATCTGAACAGTGGGATCTGTATTTTGTATTTATCATGGTTCCCGTAACATCCAAGTCCTGAATGTTTTTTTTGTTTTACCTTGTGTACACAACATAATTATCTTGTGCTATAACAATCTTAATCTAGTGTGCACAAAATAATGGGCTAACTACTATATTGTGTGCACAATTTATCTACAGTACAGAGTTATCTACAATATAATAACAGGTTCCCACAAGATAATAAAAAAATCCCTTTTGGGACTTTAGGGGCTCTGTGTGATTCAAAATTTTGAGAGTTTCTGAGAATCAATGCAGTATCACAAACCATAACATTGCAATACTCAAGTGTATTATTTTCTTACACCCCTAGTTTTTAATAGGGATGCAACTAATGATTATTTCCATTATTGATTGGTCTGACAGTTATTTTCCGGGTAAATCAATTGTTAAGTCTATAAATGTTAAAGAAAATCACCCATCACTGAGTTCAAGATGAAATCTTGAACTCAGTGTTATATGACTAAGTGTTATTTTGTTAAAAACCAAAGAACAAAAAAACTGAGAAAAGTAGTAAATCTTTATATCTAAGAAGCTGCATACAGAGAATGTTCAGCTCAAAAAAATCAATGAAATTATTAATCAGCACAGAAATAATTAATCTGTCATCAACTGAGGACAGGACAAGAGATATTTGAGGATCTATACTGTCAATGGCAGAGTGTTCGTAGACATAGGTGTAAATTTTGGGGAGGGGGAGAGCATGTCACCCTAATTATTTAGAAAATATTTAGAACATGTGCATTTGTCCCCTCCAGAAATAGCACAAAAGTAGCAAAGGACTTTTGCTTCAACAACATTAAAGACATTTAAATCATAAACTGATGCAGAAAATGCACAAATTGGTGCAGAAACTTTCACCAGAATGCAGGAAATTAAGTGTGCAAGTACACAAGCATATGAGTAACACTATGTTCCCTTCTATCAACCTTCCTAAACACCTCACCAAAGTTATTTCTGAGCTTGTACTCCAATTAGCATCCAACACTTACAACCTATTTTTGCCCACCTGATCTACCCACAGACCAGGTGTACCCACACCTCAGCTCTAATTTGCCAGTGTGTCCTCACACCTCTCCTCAGGGGCAGCATGTCCAAATGTCTAAATTTTCCATTGACATGAGAAAAAAAAAAACCCCACTCCTCAGTCCTGGACCATAGTAACAGCCACCTGCCACACACCTTTACCTGTCTCCACTTTTTTCTCTTGTGTCTCCATAGCAACAGAGGTGCCACATCCCATGATGTCCAACAAGGAAGTCCCAGGGGGTCACATCAAGTCAGTTTTTCCAAAGCTGGGGCACATCTGGCTGGTGGCATGCAACTGCTGCCATGAGATGGGGGGGGGGGGGGGGGGGGGGGGGGGGGGGGGGGGGGGGGGGGGGGGGGGGGGGGGGGGGGGGGGGGGGGGGGGGGGGTGGAAAAGGAGACATGGGTTTAGTTCTTCAGGTTTCTACCAAGTCATAGAAACATGTCAGACAGTCTCATGTCACAGCAGCATGGTTTAATTCACTGATAATTACTCTAGAGAGTATAAGCACCCCTGGAAAATGGTCCTTTTCAGGCCACCTGTTGCAGTGTTTACCTGTTTTCTGTTAAGCACACACTGACCAGTGCGTGCTGTGGGGGTCAGAGTTGAATCACAAGTGAATATGCATCAGTCCATCAATTTTGATTTCATATCTGCATTGATCTATATTAGTGAGGAAAATAAGGTTAAAGCGCAATTGTTTTCCTTCCAGCTTATTCGGATGGTCAGAAAATGTGAATGAAAATTAGGCTTCAATATGAAAACCTCACAAAACATATGCAACCGTAACGAGGGAATGACACTAAGCTTATGTACGGCTGTTAATCACGCTTCAACACTTTCAAGATCAAGGAACTGCACAGAAAATGTCAAAGCAAAAGGAAAATACTGCTCATTGCGCATCCCTGTCTTAGCTGCATTTTCACACAGCATCATACCCCAACATGCCGCTTATTTACGCATCAGGTGCAAGAACATCACTGCATCAGCATTGTTTCTGGTCCTACCTGCAGCCTGTAGGTTACCCGCGCGATGATGAATGGAGCACGCAACTCGTTTGATGCACACACACACAAAAAAAACCTTGCGTCGAAACTGCAGCCAGACAGCTGCTACATGCCCTCTAAATGACTGTCAGCAGAAGGTTTAGGTTTTAAAAGTGTTTCCAGAGAAGCTGTGGATGCTGCAAGAGCTGCTGCTGCAACAGGGGGAGACGAGAGCGCACCGAGGAGGCGGAGGCAGAAACCACAGCACAGAATGGAGGGCCAGCTGCTCCACCTCCTCTGCTGCTCCTCCTTTAAATACCGGAGGAATATTCCCCAGGTAACTGTCAACATGAGTCATTTCACTCCTGCAAATCACTTCTGTGCCCCATGCGTCCACCGAAATGCTAATTATTTTAAGCTTCACAAGGAGGAGACCTGTTGACACTTTGGATATCATGGAAACTACCAGCCATGAAAGTTTATTCTGGTCCTCATGGTTAATTGTGATTTAAACAACCTTTACTTTGGCACCACCCTCAGGCCAATTCTAGCAAGTCAGGTGTATGAGCAGCTTTTTTAAAGGTACATCACAGTAAAATGACAGATTTTATATCAGTAACTCACCACCCGTTATGTTGAATTTGTGAAGAAAACTTTTCCTGGCTTGCCTCCATGACAGGGGTGTAAATATAGACAGTGCAGACAGTGTGATTGCTCTGGGGCCCATGGGGTGGAGGGGCCTGTAGAGAGAGCGGGCCCTTGTAAGTAATTCAGATTGCCAGCTTGGAAATATGTGCTCAAAGCTAATGATGAAAAAAGAATATTATTAATTTCCTATATGTGCCCAAAAAGGCAAACCCATCTACATTACGGTTTTCTTTTTTCTTTATTTTTTTTAGTCAGTAGCTATCTAAAGTAAAATGATATGCTATTTCCATAAGCTATAAAATCTATAAATATACTATAAAAACAATTTAGTTGAATGATTGATTTCCTGCTTTCTTTGATATTTTGTCAAATATGCAGTGATGATTACTGGGTAACATGTATGTTGTTGTTGTTTAATGTCAAGTCTCTATACGTGTCAAGACAATACATGCATGATAGCATGCGCTAGGGCCCATCATAATAGCGTGCACTGGGTCCCGTCACAACCTCCTTACGCCATTGCGCCACGGTGAAAGGAAAATCCAAAAAATGATAACATTCTCAATGAACTGGAGTCATGGGAGGCCGCATTTAATGACACTTTTTCAGAACATTCATTTGAGCAGCTTTCAAATGCCAAGGCACGCTACTCAGCTATGCATGTCATTGTTTATACTGACATGTTTTAATTTTAGCAAAAATGCATGTGTTTGAGAAGTACTGAGCATACGACTGGATAAATGAGGCTTGCATTATCCTGCAGATGTTTTGGCTGTTTTCTACAGTACATAGACTTTTTGCCTGATTTGGATATTCCCCTCAACATGGAGCCTATACGAATTTATAAATTTACAACAAAATTATTGTAGAAGCAGACAGACTAGAGTTGTGATTTGAGAGCGACAGATTGGTTAACACATTAGCAAGTAAGAACAGATGTGAGCAAATAACCTTTGAATTTATATCTAAATATCCAGTAAGTAGGATTTAGAAGGCATCTGTCGGCAAAAACAGAATCAGTAATGGTTTTTAGTCTATAATCACCTGAAAATAAGAAATTGTTACCATAGAGTGAACTGTTTATTTGCAGTGGGTCCCACAGAGTCTGCTATTTAATTCTGCAGTAGCTCAGACCAGACAAACCCAACCTAGTGCTACATGGGGCCATTCGTGTTTTCATGTCAGTCACCGTAGCTCTCTGACACACATGGCACATGGGAGAAGTTTTAGTTAGTTGCCAGCTACAACTTCACCACTAGATGCCACTAAATCCTATACACATTAAAAGCAAGTAGGCACTCTACCTTATCTGTTCATGCTCACACCCTACTTTTGTAATTTGTGTAAAGGGAAGAAAAAAAAAAAAATCATAGCCAGATAAAACATGTCCAGTTGAAGCATTTTAGCCAAAAAAATTGGGTCAAATGACCATTTCAAGTGCAGCAAATCAGAGAAATGTGAGGAGAGAAAGAAAAAAAAAAAAAAAAAAAAAAAAAAAAAAGAAAGTCTACCACATCAGGAATTTGCATCCAACTCTTACATCTTAATTTCATTTGTGAACTTCTACTGGTGGCAAATACTTAGTTGTTTCTTACTTGGAATCAGCACACAAAATTTGCATTAGAATGGCAACAGATTAAAAAGCACAATAAACTCTTTAATGATAAACGTTAATAAAAATAATCAACATCTCCAACTCCTCATGCAGCAGCTCTTGTACGAATCCTCCGTTGTACGAGTGCAAGAGCAGCACTGATCTCCCGCAGAGTGATCACTTTCAGTCTGTTGGCTTTTGACAGCCGGGAAGCCTCTGAGCTCACCAGCCTGAGCAGGACCGGTTTTGGAAAACTTTGCTGACTGGCCAGGAAGTCTGGACTCTTCATCCCAGCTGGACTGACCTGCGGGAGAGAGGGAAAGTTGCAGGAGGTTTTGAGTAGCACAAACGCCAGAGGACTGTTTTCATTGTCTTAATTCAAAGCAACCTGCACAGTCCATTTTGAAGGATGGGATTTTTTTTTTTTACCTCTTAAAATAACAAAAATCACCTCAAGACAAACAAGAATTTTTGGTCAAGTGTCAAACACCATATGTCCATGCAAGTTCCTATTTTTGCTGTGATTCTCACCTCTTTGTGAGCTCTGTAGATGAGAGCGGAGTGAACTTGATTCATCTTCTTTGAATGTGGAAGAATCCTGCGTGCTGCTCTGACAGGAGCCTTCATTTTTCTTCAACAGTTTTATGAAAAGCAAACTCGCAGAATGAGTTTACACCAGCTTTTTCAGGAGAACACCACAAGAGCAGCACAAGAGCAGGCAAGATGAGAGTGAGGAAGGAAAAGGCTGTCTTAATGAACACAAATTGAAAACAGCTTTGTGTAATTGGGATTAATTACTTTCAGCCAGCAGACTTTGAAACCCTCAGTGTGAGTTTAGATGCCTGTGGCCTGAGTATCTACAGCAGATAATAAAAGCCTGACCCTTTAACCTGAGACAACTCTGAGCTTGTCTATAACTTTTGAATGCCGTGCCTGATCTGATTCTTGAGATAATAGAAGATGTATTATTCTAATCATGGTGCATTTTGTTCCAACATTTGGGCTTTTCCTTCCTCACTTATCACAGTTCTTATCAGCAGAGAAAATTCACAAAGAAGCAAAATTCTGGATTTATTTTTTAAGGTTTTTCTGATTCTTCTCTTATTTTAAAGATTATTTACTCAAGTAGAAACAGATTTTATTCTAGGGCAGTGGTTCCCAACCTTTTTCTAAAGGAACCTCTTTTCTATCACTGAGTAAAATGATGACCTCTGCCTAATACCCTAGAACCAGTGTTCCAGGGTAGCCATTTTATTATCATTTTTAATTGTATCTGAGCTTAACGTGACAATCCAATAATTAAATCCTTCAACAATACTGGATTACTGGGCCTGACACTGATATTCACACACACTGAAACTCCTCAGATCAGTACTGACCCTGATAAATTAGCTTTTAGTTCTTTCACACCAATTTAAGTTACAAGAAGTATTGAAATTAGGCAGGTATGTGTCAGTAGATCAGTTGAAGTGTATGCTAGATCAGTGGCTACCGACTGGTCCAGCCACAGAGTACGGATTTCTCCTCTGTCATTAGTTCAATGTCCACACAGTTTAATATATTCAGCGTCATACTTGTGTTTGCCATGTTGTCAAGCTAGTTTTGTATCTCTGTCAAGTAGCTGTCCATTAGTCACTCACTCTACAACAGGAGACGGCACTTCAAAATAAAAGCTGTGTGCCGCAAATTCACTGTACTTCAAAGTAAAGTGTGTTGACTCTTTAAGCGCTTTCAAACTCGTCACATTCAAGTCATTTGCAGTCCATGAGTGAGATTGAGCCACTTTTGGACCATGACCCACCAGTTGGGAACCACTGTGCTAGATGATATGGTTATTTTACAGTGTTCCTGCTTTGGTAAATTGACGGATATGATCATTTTTTTTTATTGTTTTTATTGTTGTTATGTATCCTTCATTTATAGCAGATTTTGTTTTCATTATTTCATTTTTCGTCCTTTTACTGTTTTTTATTGCTGCTTTAATTCTTGATAGATGTTGCTGCTAGTTATTTGTTTTTATGGACTTTTTCATCATTTTATTGTGATTACCATCATGTATGTGTAGCCTTCTAGCTCATGTGAACACAGGGCATTGCTTTAAAAGGGTTTAATGCTCAGTTAATTTACCCTGAATAAAAAAAGAATCAACCAATTACAGTGTATCAGCCTTTTAAATAACATTGTCAGTGTTTCTAAATTACTGCAGATGTACGTGTTTTTAGAAGTAATTTTTTTGTTACCGTGTATCATCCAACATATACCTTTATATCTTCATAAAGCTAATATCAGCTGCTTTATCAGTTCGGCTCAACTGAACATTTTCATCTCCTTTATTTCATATTTCTGTCTTTCTTTCTTTCTTTCTTTTTTTAGATGCAGCAAATACAAGGAGAGCTGTACTGTCACAGAAAAGTCGACCTTCTGGTCAATCATATGGATCACAAGGCCCAGCATTAGCCATCACCACCCTGCAGACCTCTCTCTCCCACTCTTTTGCACACACACACACACACACACGCAACCCAAATCATGTCATATATCCGATTGACCTCTCTGGCTTTGTTTTTTTCCGCAGGATTTTTGACTTGACCCCTGCGGCTGTGCAGTGCTCTTCACACTGTGTGGTGGTCGTTGATGGTGTTGATGGTGGTGGGTGAACAGCTGTAGGAGGGGCTTTGTCAGATAAGGATGGCATTAGGTAAGGCCATTAGTGTCCAGTGGAGATTATTGTAATCCAGCCTGTCTATTGCTGCTGGGGTGGTTGCTCAGTCTACAGTCGGTGTCGTCTGGTTTGGAGCAGGTTGGAAGATGAGTCTCTACGCACAGCGTTTCCTGCTGGCCCTGCTCCTTCTGGGAGCTAACGGTACGATTTCTGTTTTAACACTCTTTTCACTTTGTGCTGCGGTTGAGTTGTGAAGACATCCAGGATTTTTCTTTGGTTACATCATACTTGATTCTCTATGTATTGTGTTTGTTTGTTTTAC